TGTGTGTGTGTGTGTGTGTACCTGTTTGTGGTGGGGGTGAGGTATGCACATGCGTGTGTGTGGTGTGTGTTTGTGGAGTGCCTGAGTGCAGAAAGGAGGGAAATATAGAAGGACTACTAGAGGGAAAGGAAGGGAGGTGTTTGGACAAATCCATTGTTGGTTCAGTTTTCTGCTGTAGGGTCAGCAGGAGGTGCCAAAGGATGATCATTCTAATTCTGAATGGCCACTTTCTTTCTTTGTACCTCCAAGTGTGTGACTTTCAGATATTTGGATTTATTTCATTTACATATCTGTAAATTACTGGTGATGGTTTCCTACATCTATACCATCTACAATCACCACTGCTGAGAGCCATAGCTGAGTCCCATGGCATTTTTGCCAGAACAGAGTGGTTGAGAGGTGACTCCAGCAAGCCATTGAGATGATAATGGTTATGTTAAGCTGTGTATTCAGTTGCATATTAGACCCCTGCTGTCCGCCTCAGCCTGCCACTTTGGAGTTCTGTGGGGATTCCCGGAGAGTTCCCATTGGTTGGGGAAGTGCCGGAGAAGGGATTTTCCGGAGGAAGGATTTCTGGTTGGTGTGTGGTGTGGCCTCGTGTGTGTGGTGTTGGAGGGAGTGCCGAGAATAAAGGAGTTCCTGTTTTGAACCTACAATGCTGTGTGGCGGCTGGGTTATTTTGTGCCCAGCCAGACTGTGGCACACCACCCTCAGACAGGAACTCTCCAGCCTCTGGATGCTGTCCTTCCTCACGTGCTACTCAGAAACGCTGCCTGTGCCTCCTGCAGCAGGCTGAGCATCAGGTCTGGGATCAGACCAGGGATGAGCTGTAGCATTCTGACATAGATGAGGAGGATCAGTGCACAGTGGTTTGCTCTTCGGGTCTATTTCAGTGATAACTCATTCTTGGCAGTCCTTTATTCGTATGTCCCTAGAGCAGAAAACAGTCATGGAGGGATCAGCAGGACTTTCACTTGATCATTGCGCAAGAACCAAATTGTGCCATGTGCCACGAGTTCATCAGTCTAACCTGCCAGTTAGATAAGAAGGATGTGATCCTTGGGGCTAAGTGGTGGCCTGGCAAGCCCATGGTCCACAGGACAGCCAGGGCTGGGCTTTCTTGGCTGCTGGT